TGCCTTGTAATGTGGGGGGTAAGGTGTATTTACAGTTGGCATTGCCCACTCATTCAAAAGAAAATAAGTAGTAAATACTGCTGTCTCAGATGATCAGATGTAGAGCATCCCTCACACCATAAAAAGCACTGGCAGAAATTATCTGCCCAGTTAGGTGGGGGAAAAAGCAAAATGTGAAAGGACATGGCACATAGTACACTTTGTTTTCTGTCTTCCTCCATGTGTGATTCAGAGAAAATGAAACATGCAGCTCAGAAAAATAGATTGTGTTGCACTGAGTACTGTACTGCAGATAGGAAAAAAATTCTCTTCTTCATTGGTAATTTTTGCTTTGGTGCAGATTTTAATTATTAAAGCTGCACATTCTTAAGATAAACTTGATGCTTGTAGATCTTTGATTAGTGCAAGGAAGAGTGCAAGTTTAAAGATTTATGATAGGTACAAACAAAAATCTAGTTCTACTTTAAATGATAAATCAAGGCACACTTTTTTTATACAAAAGGTATAAATTATCGGGGCCTTGATCAGAGAAAATGTAAAACCAGTAAACCTGGATTTTTGATTATGGCTTTTTGGGGTTTTTTTTTCCTGGTTTTTAAGCTTTGAAAGAAAAAAATTCTTAGAAAAGACAAAGCATGGAGCAGCACATGTAGACATCTGCTGTCCAGGGAATTTCTGGGAAGACTTTGCACACGTTGGGCTGAGTGGGAAAATTATCACAACCACTCTCGGGTAGAAATGTACTTACATGTTTGGGAATCAAGACTTTTAGTGCAGCTGTCTTCTTTAGGATGAAGAATATTACATAAATTTAATGTGGTTTTCCTTTCCCATAGGACCACAGGTGTTTCTTTGCACATAAATAGGCTTGAAACACAATTACTGTGAGACATGGTACTACAGTTACATCGAAAAGGGAATTCTTACTCTATTAGCTTTTGAATGTCCTTAAACACTATACACACAGAAATTTAGTAATGTTTTTTCTTTTGATACACTAACATTCCAAGTAAATATAGTTTATTATTTTAAAACTAGTTTAATTCAGTTTCTTTCTTTGAATTTCTGTGTTTAACCAGAAAGAAAATTGCTTTAAGATAATTTCATTTTAATTTTGATAATTTCTGGGAGATACATAGGATGAGCAAAAATCCTTGACAAAGGTGTAATATTGTGGCCAAAGAATTAGTTTCAAATACATTTTCAAAGCTCATGGGTTACTGAAAGGTTTTAGAAATACATAGTTCTTATCAAGCTGTGAGAACAAAGGAAGAAATAATGAGGCTGGCTAAAGGCAGACATAGAAATACATTCTTGAAAAGAGACAGAATGGGTAAAACCATTTAGACAAAATGGTGTATATAAGGTCAGTTTTAGCTTTCTGGAGAAGGACTTTGATGTTTATCAGTTTGTATCAGCTTTAAAATATCATAAAAGTTGAGCAAGACATTATAAATCGATTGGTGTTGAGAGGTAATTATTGTGAAATTTCTAAATAACTTATTTCTTTCTGTTTCTTGCTTTGAAAACATCTTCCTCACAGATAGAAATGCATATTACTTTCCTCTGTAATTCTCTTAGGTTTAGAAGTACATCATAAAGCACCCAGCAGCAGCACAACACCTCTGATGGATTCTCTCTTTTGAGCACCAGCGGCTTTTCCTGCATTTAGGCATTTCTGCACATGAAGAGCTGACTTTCCTTGAGCTATTCCCTTTGGCAAGTGGCAGCATCATTTCCTTCCTGCTGGTCCTTCTGGCTTAAAGGCAAGGTCAGGGCAAGAAGGTGAACAGATGGTAACACTGGAGAGAGTTGGAAGTCCAGGAGCCAAGCTGCTTTCTGTGTTCCCACCTTCTCTTTCAGTTGCCATTTGCCTCAGACACCCCCAGATCAGGTGCTTTTTCTCTCAGCAAAACTCAGAAAGTGGCATTAAATGAACATTAAAGCTCAAAACACTTCAAAGAACTAAGGGGGATTTGAATAGAGGAGTATAAAAAGGGGCTAAAGGTCAAAGGCCAGGTTTGAGGATCAGCTATGATGCAGCAGATACGACCCAAAAAGAAGCATCCACCAAGATTATTCTCACACTCTGTCCCAGAAACCCTTCAAACACAGGCAGTTCACACTGCTGGGGACAGTCATTCATTATGTGACAAAAATGCACGTGTGTCATGTCCCAAGGCAAGTGCAGGTCTGTTCATACAAAGGGGTTTGAGGACATGAGACCCAGGACCCCAAATGTCAAACACAGGCACAGGTGGTGCACAGATTGATTTCACCTGCATATGGCCTTTCATAAGATGTCTGATATTCATTTTTGCCACTTTCCTAGACTTAAAACTGAACATTTTTCCTTTTGTGGGGACAAAGCAAAGGAGACAAGAAGTCTGAGTGCTGGGTGCTCCTCTAGCAGGGTATGGCCCATCTGGTACAACACAAATTAAAAGACACAGATATAGGAATTGAAGTCCTGCAGAGCATTCCTGGGCAGATACAGAGAGACTAATTTTGTTCAAGCTCCCTCCTGCAAGAAGTGTATGACAGAAAACCAGTCCACAGAGCTACAGCACAGAGTGTTACTGTAAGTCTTCTTATTCCTTTGTTAAACTGAAAGAAAATGATCAATAAACATAGCAGAGCTTTCTGTAGTGTTTATCAACTCTAAGAGCCTCTAAAAATGACAACTGTGATTGAAAAATTCAACAGTTTGAAACTTCATTTTTTATTGAAATTGCATAGAAAACATTTGGTTTTTAATCCAACAGTATCACTTAATAAACACTTGTTCCAGCAAGAAGCTGACCTCTGAAAAAAACAGATTATTCATTGAGGCTGATATTCTTAGACAAATGTTTTAAGGTTTCCTGTCTCTCAAGACTTTTGATTACAGTAAGACAAATTTGATCCCATGCATTTTATCTCACAGGGCAAAAGTTTCATTTATTCCTGATGTGAGAATAGTAATAGATTGCTGATCTGCTATCATAACTCACGTTGCAGACTTTCATGGTACTTTATTTTGCATAAAACTTCCTGCTGCTCTGATCTCAGTGCGTGCAATAGATAAGACAGATAATCTGAGGCAGGTTTTGTAGAGTACATTGGAATTTTAGCCTCTACAAATCAAAGGTGCCTGTTATTAAGGCATAGATCCTCATGTAAGTTAAAAAACACTTACTGGAAGTGCCAGAAATGCACCAATAAGCTGAAACTGCTGAGAACCAGGAAGCAGCCTGATGTGTTCATGTGTTCATGAACCTTGCTGGCAGATTTCATTACTGTGGATAAATTTAACCTCCTCTGTTGTTCAAACTGCTTGATATCATCCATAAATATTCTGTTCACAGTGTCTCAAAGCAGCTATGGCTGGACAATCTGGAGATCCTAAACTCTATCCCCTTGCTCAAAGCAGGGTCAAAGAAAACCAGCTGCTCAGGACTGTGCCCAGCTTGTGAGAACATCTTAAAGAATTGAGAAATCTACAAAATTGCTGGGCAACCTATTCCACTGCTTCTCCAGTCTCACAGTGGAATTCTCTTTCCTTATGTTAAGTAGAGTTTACTGTACTTCAATTCATGCCCATTGCTTCTCAACCTGCCACCAGGCACCACTGAGACAAGTCTGGCTCATTTTTCAAGAATCTTGAAGCAGGATTGACCTCATAACCCCCTCCCAATGACAGTGTATGATCACTCCACTGAGCACATGGTATTGTTTTCACTCTTGTCAGACAGTCAGGAGCAGTAGAGCTTTGAATAGCAATGTTCAGGCTTCCATTTCTTTATTAACATGTGAGTACAATCAGTTGTATTTACCATTGTCCTCCAGTTTGTTTGCTCTTCTCAGTAACGGCTTTAACAGCTTCAGATTCTGTTTCTGGACTCTGGCCTTTTGTCCTTCTTTCCTCTATCTGAGCACTGTGAACCTTTTCAGGAAGATCATTCTTTATTCCCCTTGTTTTGGACCCAAGCTGTGCTTTCCTACAGAAGGAAGGTTGGAATACACCAGCAGGATACAGCATGTCCAACTATTCCAGTTTGACTGCAGCTGGTCTTGTAGCCAAAGTGAACAGAGAGGTACAGCCTGGATGGGCTGTAATGAAAAGAATATTAAACCAACAACTGGTCTGTTTCTATCTGACCTCAATTTCTCCTCATCAGGTGAGCAGAAGCAGTTGAAATGCAAAATAATGACCCCAGCAGACAGGTCTGTGGGTGTTGTGCCCCCAAGTCATCGACAGCTCCATTAAGATTTCACACAGACCAGCCAAGGAAACCAGCTCAACAGGACTTTAGATTTCAACCCATCATTCTTGTCTTTTTTATAAACTGTGTGATTCAAGGGATTGAAGGGAGTGCTGCTGGCAGATGCATCTGAGGACCACAGCTGTAGATTGAGGGGAGACATTGTTAAAGCAGAACAAGCTCTACAGAGGCCTGAAGGTGAGGTCCACTTAGGGTATGTTACAAAAAATTGGCATGAATTTGCTTTTGATTCCTGACTTAATCCCATTTATGACGTGATTTTTGTCTACAAACAGCAGGGAAACAAACGTACAGTTTCAAATGGAGAACTAAAATATAAACATTTATGAGACCAGGACTCTCTGCTGAAGAATTTATGAGAAAACCTGCTATGAATTTGCTGCCTCATCCTGCAATACGTTACAGTCTGTGCAATCAAGCAATTACCTATTAGCAATAAATAAATAAAATTGGGATTTCTGAGGCAAAGAAACACATTTATTCCCCAGTCTGGTTCCAAAGGTAACTCTGCACATGCAGTTAAGATAATTTAAAATAAAGCTATATTATGGTCTTGGCTGGCATAGAGTTACTTTTCTTCCTAGTAACACAAATTATCTAGGAAACTAAAACTTTACCACTCCTATGTAATCCTCCTGTAAAGATCAGATAATCATAAAAAATACAGCATAATAAATCAGACACAGCATGGGCCAGGCTGACCTTGGGAGCCCCAGCCTTTCACCAGTGCAGAGTATAAATTCTAATGCTCGGTTTTACCGGGATCTCTTGACAAGATGGGTGCAACAAGGAACTTGCTGTGCTTATTCCTCTTAAATGCAGCACTCCTGGATGCCATCTCACCTAATCTACACAAAAACTTTTCTTCCCAAAAAGGTAGGAAAAAGGGTGTCTTACTTCACTGTGCTGGGTTTATACATGGCACTCACAGGCCAGTTTAATCAACACTTTGCAAAGATTAGAAGACAGATTGAAATTAGATAACATCAGGTTGTCTGATTAAAATTATGAACCAATTGATATCACAATTAAGTATTATTTTTGTTGAAGTGAATTTAGTGTGATGAAATTACCATTGTTTTGCAGTGGTGTCTTGTAGCTAAGTTTGAACCAACTTTAAAAAGAATTCTGACATGAAAGACTGAGAGACTTTGCTCCTATAAATCTGTGGGTTTCAGTATGGAATTATGAGGGATTATAGTTTCTTCGGCTCTCATGCATATTTGCTTTATAATACTTCAAATTCCACCTTGCAAATGCACATGGAACCACCCAATACTTATTTAGCTTTATATAATTTAATAGGAGTGCAACAGAAAGACACAATTGTGTTGTAGTGTCAGGAAATCCAGGTGGGTGCATTTTACTAACTTGGGACTTTCAGGCATGTGGAATAAAAACCTGGAGACTGTAACAACCCAGCCTGCACGCATGCAAATACAAAACAGCGTTTGGTTTCCTCAGAAACCAATATTTAGTATTGCCAAGGACATTCTAAACACTATCAGTATTTAAAAAAAGCTAAATCAACAAAAACCCAACAATTGAACAAAAGAGGTATGACTCTCACTCTTCTTTCACAGAAGATATCTGAAGTCTTATGCTCCTGCTAGGAATTTCTTCTGACTCAGACACCTCTTTGTTCACTGTTTTTTTGCAGCTATAAATAAGAAAACAACACCCATTATATGTCTGGGAATATTGGTGATACAGTGTGCATTGCTAATTTTTCCCACTGCTTTCAAAAAGACAGTAAAAAATGCTTGAATTATAAAAATAGAAAATAGAGAAATGAAAAGTAACCCAAGGAAATCAGAATAAGTGACATTTAAAACAATGAAATCATAGAACAAAGAAACCAAAAGGGTCTGATATCTGTTTCACAGTATAAAGTCACTTTCTGTATGTCTGGGAATTACCAAGAATTTTGTGTGTCCTACTCAGATAAAAAAGGCTTGAGAAAGACACAGCACTTGTAGAATGTTGTATCAGATCACCGACCTGACTAAGCATGTCACTGATTTTTTTTGCATTAAAATCATGAATACATTTTTTGCAAATTTTATTTGTTCTTGTTTTGAGATTTTTTACTACTCATTTAATTTTGCAGATAAACCTGTGTATGTAAACAAATGAAAGTACTGTGGTATTTCAAATTAAAAGCACAGATTTAAGGGAGTTCCACAAATATTCTGTATTACTCATGCCCAGACACTTCTTCCTGTAACCTCTTGAGTATTCCACTTTATTAGGTTAACAGTAACACTTCGATGCTTGGTTTATTGGCCTTCCAGAAAATTCTGTCCATTCCTAGCAAATGCACATTAAGAATTGCCACTAAAAAATTCAAATATTAGTCAAAAATCCAAATTATTCTCTTTAGTCTGATCAAACATTAATCCAAACATTCATGCATGAAAAATAGGTTTGCTAATTGGCCCTCAGTTGTCTCTGTTTACATCCTTTTATTAACTGAAAAGATAATTTTGTGGGGATGCCACGCCCTTGTGGAATATGACATTATTAATTATCTCTTATTTTGCAGAGACCAGAGCTTAGACCTGCATCCCAGAAGATGCAGCTCTCTAGGGAAAACGTACCTCATTTGAATTTTCTGAACATTGTTGATCACATGTATTGTAAATTCAGTCACTGAAAGCAGCCTTGTGCAACAATAATCCTAAAGAGATAGACTCATGTAGTCACAGAATCAGAGAATGATATGGGTTCAAGGCAACTTGAATAAACTTCTGGTTTACATCTCCAAAAAGAAGCAGAGACAGTTTAAAGCAGGAGATGCTCAGAGCCATATATGACCTTGAAAGCTGCCAGTGAATGAAAATCCACAAGATTGGAAGATGTGTCCCAAAATTCTTGGTTTTCTTGCTCCTTCCACAGAAGAGCACCCTTGAGATTGAGACATTGCTCTCCATCTCCCATGTGACACCAGAATCCCCAGCTCTGGGAGAAACCTGATCATGCTCCTTCACCTACCAGGGACTCACCTGCTTCTCTCTCTTCCTTCTTTACAGATGCCACCAGCGCCGATACACCCACGTTAATGTCATCTGCTCCTCCAGGTGGGTCTGAATCTGCTCACAATTTTTGGTCAGTGCTTTTGAGGAGCCAGTAATTTCTGTGGAGTTTGAGGTTTGGTTTTCTCCACGGGGCAGTAGAGGCCAGGAAAAGTACATCATAACTGTACCAGCTGCCAAGACTGGCACTCCTGGTGGTCTGAAACTTGTAGAATGATGCCAAGTCCCCGACCAAGGAAAGTGCCTCCTTGTGGTGTTTGTTGGCTGGAATTAGGTGTGTTTTGGCAATGAGTTAAATAGCAGGGATAAATATATCATCCTGCTGAGATCCTCAGTGTGGAACCAATATCCCCAGTGCTGGAAGAAACCTGGCCATCCTCCTTTTTCCAGCAGGGTCTTAGTGCTTCTATCTCTTCCTCCCTGCATATGATACCACTCAACCCAGATTAACCTTCTCTGCTCCTCCAAGTGAGTCTGAATTTCTCCTGGGTTTTCTGGACATTGCTTCTTGCAGAAACAATTAGTGACATGGAGTTTGGGGTTTAGTCTTCTAAAAGGGAGAGGAGAGTCTGGGAAAAGCACAGCTGAATGCATGTGAGACTGGGGGTCATGGTAACTTGAAATTCACACATCATTGCCAAGGCCATGGCAAAGAAAGGCACCTGCTTGTGGTTTCTGTAGGCTGGAATTGGATGTCTGCTGGGAGTGAGTGTGGGATTATGTTTTTGGTTGATCCCACAATGAAAAACCACCATGCTGACACCCCCAAGCTCTCCATCTCCCAGATTACAGGGTGGCACCAACATCCCCAGTCTTGGGAATAACCTGGCTGTCCTCCTTCATCCACCAACAGCTCACCTGTAACTTCTTTCTTCCACATAGATGACATTACTGAGGAGCCACCCAGGTTTAAGTTGTCCATTCCTTCAGGTGAGTCTGAACGTTTGTCCATGTTTTTCCGGTGACTCCTCTTGCCTGAATAGTTAGTGGGGCAGAAGTTTGAGTTTAGTCCTCTCCCTGGGAAATACAGGTTAACCCAGCCAAGACTGGGAGTTGTGGTGGCCCGAAATTCCTAGACTGATTCCAAAGCCCTGGCAAGAAAAGATGCCTTTGATCCAAGAGACTCTTCCAAGGTTTTCTATACCTCCTTCTTTCCCAGATGCCACCATCACCCTGGTGAACGGCCAGAACCGCTGCGAGGGTCGTGTTGAGATTTCACACTCTGGGGGCCAAGGCACCGTCTGTGACGATGGCTGGGACCTGAATGATGCCCAGGTGGTGTGCAGGCAGCTGGGATGTGGCCCTGCTGTTTCTGCAACATCAAGTGCCTCCTTTGGACAAGGCAGTGGCAACATCTACCTGGATGATGTGAGCTGTACAGGGTCAGAGTCGTCCCTCTTCCAGTGCAGCCACAATGGCTGGGGCAGCCACAACTGTGGCCACAGTGAAGATGCTGGTGTTGTGTGCTCAGGTAACACTGATTTGACTGCCTCCATTCTGGCACTCGTTCAGAAAGTGTCCCCTGCTGGCTGGAATTCCGTGTGGGCTGGGGACGAGTTCAGGATTATGTTTTTGGTTGATCCCACCATGAGACACCATTCTGCTGGCACCCCCTGGCTCTCTGTTGCCCACGTGCCAAGGTGGCAGCAACATGTCCAGCCTGGGGATAAAGCCTATCATGGTCCTTCACCCAACAGGCCTCACCTGCCTCTTTTCTTTCCTCCCCTATAGTGGCCACAATACAAGCATAAACTCTACCAGAACCCCCTTCCCTGCTCTACAGTGGATTTGAATTTCTCCAGGGATTTCTGGCCACCACTTTTTGCAGAAACAATTAGTGCCTCAGAGTTTGGGGTTTGGTTTCCTTCATAGGAGAGGAGAAGTCAGGAAAAGCAGTTTAACATCAGCTTAATTCCTACGGGAATTGTGGTGGGCTGAAAGACACAGAATGATATGAAGGTTGTGGCAAGAGAAGGTGCCTTTGTACAAGATGTTCTTCCCAAGTTTTCTATACCTCCTTCTTTCCCAGATGCCACCATCACCCTGGTGAACGGCCAGAACCGCTGCGAGGGTCGTGTTGAGATTTCACACTCTGGGGGCCAAGGCACCGTCTGTGACGATGGCTGGGGCCTGAATGATGCCCAGGTGGTGTGCAGGCAGCTGGGATGTGGCCCTGCTGTTTCTGCAACATCAAGTGCCTCCTTTGGACAAGGCAGTGGCAACATCATCCTGGACGATGTGAGCTGTACAGGGTCAGAGTCGTCCCTCTTCCAGTGCAGCCACAATGGCTGGGGTGTCCACAACTGTGGCCACAGTGAAGATGCTGGTGTTGTGTGCTCAGGTAACATTGATATGACTGAATGTGTACTATGATTCTTTCGGAATGTGGTCCTAGTTGTAATTCGCTGTGGGTTGGGGATGAGTTCAGGATTATGTTTTCGGTTGATCCCACCATGAGACACCGTTCTGCTGGCACCCCCAGGCTCTCTGTTGCCCACAGGCCATGGTGGCAGCAACATGCCCAGCCTGGGGATAAAGCCTATCATGGTCCTTCTTCACCCAACAGGCCTCACCTGCCTCTTTTCTTTCCTCCCCTACAGTGGCCACAAAATAAGTACAACCATTTCCAGAACCACCTTCCCTTCTCCTACAGTGGGTCTGAATTTCTCCAGGGATTTCTGGCCACCACTTTTTGCAGAAACAATTAGTGCCTCAGAGTTTGGGGTTTGGTTTCCTTGTTTGGAGACAAGAAACCAGGAAATGCATTTCAACCCAGCCAAGACTAGGAATTGTGGTGGGCTGAAAGACACAGAATAATATGAAGGTTGTGGCAAGAGAAGGTGCCTTTGTACAAGATGTTCTTCCCAAGTGTTCTATACCTCCTTCTTTCCCAGATGCCACCATCACCCTGGTGAACGGCCAAAACCGCTGCGAGGGTCGTGTTGAGATTTCACACTCTGGGGGCCAAGGCACCGTCTGTGACGATGGCTGGGACCTGAATGATGCCCAGGTGGTGTGCAGGCAGCTGGGATGTGGAGCTGCTGTTTCTGCAACATCAAGTGCCTTCTTTGGACAAGGCAGTGGCAACATCTACCTGGACGATGTGAGCTGTACAGGGTCAGAGTCGTCCCTCTTCCAGTGCAGCCACAATGGCTGGGGCAGCCACAACTGTGGCCATGGTGAAGATGCTGGTGTTGTGTGCTCAGGTAACACTGATTTGACTGCCTCCATTCTGGAGCTCTTTCAGAAAGTGTCCCCTGCTGGCTGGAATTCCGTGTGGGCTGGGGACGAGTTCAGGATTATGTTTTTGGTTGATCCCACCATGAGACACCGTTCTGCTGGCACCCCCTGGCTCTCTGTTGCCCACGTGCCAAGGTGGCAGCAACATGTCCAGCCTGGGGATAAAGTCAGTCATGGTCCTTCACCCAACAGGCCTCACCTGCCTCTTTTTTTTCCTCCACTACAGCTGCCATAAGCACAGGCACCACCTCTCCCAGCACCTCCTTCCCTGCTCCTACAGTGGGTCTGAATTTCTCCTGAGATTTCTCACCACTGCTTTATGCAGAAGCAATTAGTGCCTCAGAGTTTGGGGTTTGGTTTCCTTCATAGGAGAGGAGAAGTCAGGAAAAGCAGGTTAACCCAGCTGAGACTGGGAATTGTGGTGGCCTCTAAACTCATCGAGTGATTCCAAGGCCCTGATGCCCTTTTGGTTTTTACCTTTTTTCCTTTATATATTCTCTGTATACTTTACAGAAATATTTGTAGCTTTGTAGCTTCTTATTGTAACCTAGATGCTGCATTTCCTAGACAGGAATTCAAAACTCATTCCAGAATCCCTATGCTATCTTGGTTCTTCCTGGTGACCAAGGCCAAAAAACAGCTCTTCAGATGCATTTTCATCAACAAACTACAGTCCCATCTGAGGCAGAGAGGACTTTGAAGGGTCTTGGACTGGGGGAAACTGCATCACCACTTGTGCTCCTGATTGGTGCTGTTTTGTCAATTATGCTGATTTACCAAACATATAGACCTGTATGCAACCCCGTGAGGGTGGGCTTTTGTGTATGTTTTTCCAGAACTGCCCTGGAGACATCCAATAAAAATCCACTTTTATAGTACTTCCTCTATGAAAATTATCACAAAAGTTTAAGTTGTTTCATTTCTAGGTTGAAAAAGACATCACCCTGGTAAGAGAAGGTGCCTTTGTGCTAGACTGTCTTCCCAAGTGTTCTATACCTCCTTCCTTCCCAGACGCCAGCACCATCACCCTGGTGAACGGCCAAAACCGCTGCGAGGGTCGTGTTGAGATTTCACACTCTGGGGGCCAAGGCACCGTCTGTGACGATGACTGGGACCTGAATGATGCCCAGGTGGTGTGCAGGCAGCTGGGATGTGGAGCTGCTGTTTCTGCAACATCAAGTGCCTCCTTTGGACAAGGCAGTGGCAACATCTACCTGGACAATGTGAGCTGTACAGGGTCAGAGTCGTCCCTCTTCCAGTGCAGCCACAATGGCTGGGGTGTCCACAACTGTGGCCACGGTGAAGATGCTGGTGTTGTGTGCTCAGGTAACATTGATATGACTGAATGTGTACTATGATTCTTTCGGAATGTGGTCCTAGTTGTAATTCGCTGTGGGTTGGGGATGAGTTCAGGATTATGTTTTCGGTTGATCCCACCATGAGACACCATTCTGCTGGCACCCCCAGGCTCTCTGTTGCCCACGTGCCATGGTGGCAGCAACATGCCCAGCCTGGGGATAAAGCCTATCATGGTCCTTCTTCACCCAACAGGCCTCACCTGCCTCTTTTCTTTCCTCCCCTATGTGGCTACAGTATAAATAAAGCCATTTCCAGGACCACCTTCCCTGCTCCTATAGTCGGTCAGAAGTTCTCCTGGGATTTCTGGACATCACTTTTTGCAGAAACAATTAGTGCCTCAGAGTTTGGGGTTTGGTTTCCTCCACAGGAGAAAAGAAGAGAGGCAATGCGTATTAACAGAACTGAGTCTGGGAATTGTGGTGGGCTGAAAGACACAGAATAATATGAAGGTTGTGGCAAGAGAAGGTGCCTTTGTACAAGATGTTCTTCCCAAGTTTTCTATACCTCCTTCTTTCCCAGATGCCACCATCACCCTGGTGAACGGCCAGAACCGCTGCGAGGGTCGTGTTGAGATTTCACACTCTGGGGGCCAAGGCACCGTCTGTGACGATGGCTGGGACCTGACTGATGCCCAGGTGGTGTGCAGGCAGCTGGGATGTGGAGCTGCTGTTTCTGCAACATCAAGTGCCTCCTTTGGACAAGGCAGTGGCAACATCTACCTGGACGATGTGAGCTGTACAGGGTCAGAGTCGTCCCTCTTCCAGTGCAGCCACAATGGCTGGGGTGTCCACAACTGTGGCCATGGTGAAGATGCTGGTGTTGTGTGCTCAGGTAAGACTGATTTGACTGCCTCCATTCTGGAGCTCTTTCCGAAGGTGTCCCCTGCTGGCTGGAATTCAGCATTAGTTAGGGATGAATGTGGGATTATGTTTTCGGTTGATCCCACCATGAGACACCATTATGCTGGCACCCCCTGGCTCTCCATTGCCCACGTGCCACGGTGGCAGAAACGTGCCCAGCCTGGGGACAAAGTCAATCATGGTCCTTCACCCAACAGGCCTCACCTGCCTCTTTTCTTTCCTCCCCTACAGCAGCCAGAACTATAGATATGCCCAGCCCCTCCGCCTCTACTCCTACAGGTGGGTCTGACTTCCCTCCTGGGTTTTATGGTCACTGTTTTTGCAGAAACAATCAATGCCTCATAGTCTGGGTTTTAATCTTCTCCAAAGTAGAGTAGAGCCTTTGAAAAGCACAGCAGATTGCAGCTGAAACTGAGCCTTTGGAACCTTAAATTCCTTGAGCATTGCCAAGGCTCTGGCAAGGGGAAGTTCCTTCTGGTCTGTGTCGACTGAACTTTAGATAAATGTTTGGGATGAGTGTGGGATCATGTCACTGCTTGATCCCACCATGAGAGAACATTCTGCTGAGACCCCCAGGCTCTCCATATCCCAAGTGACAGGGTGGCACCAACATCCCCGGGGGTGGTAGAAAACCTTGCCATGCTCCCTCATCCTCCAGTGTCTCACCTGCCCCCTTTTCTTTTTCCCATACAGATGCCACAAGCACAGACCCTGTTACAAGTGATCCAGGTATATATGTTTATACATTTTTTACCATTTCTCTGATTACCCTGGAAGTGTAATAATTACTGTTTTGCAAGTGGGATCTGTTTCATTTGCATAGCATTGTACATTGGGAAAAATCCTTACTGGTTTTAACTCTTTATATGCTACACACTGATCTTTTGTGTTTGGGTGATTTTAGTACTGGGGGTGGATTTCAGAGTATGCTGATTTCACAGGAGGTTTTCTTTTGTTCATTCTCTGCTTTTATGGTATTTAGGCCGCCACAGTTTACTTCATACCTATGTGCCTGAAGACCACGAAGTTAATAATTGCAAGCACAGGTCATAATTCTCTGAAGAGTTCATCACTCTTGTAGTCTGAGAGGAACATGACCATTATGTTTCTTTTGAGATTTAACCTTGTGTTGCATGGTTTCTGTATATGAAACATATTTTTATTTGATCAGAAGTAAATATAAATGAATTATTTCTATCCCTTATTTTATTTTTTTCTTTCCTTCTTCAGGTCAAAAAATTATTTGTGGTGATATACTTTTTGAGTCCTCCGGAACATTTCAGAGCCCTTCTTTGAATGCTTCAGATAAAGCAGATTGTTTGTGGCAAATACATGTAACAAACAATTTCCGCATTGCGCTCACATTTGATAACATTCAGTAAGTAAACCACTTTCTACTTGGGCAATAAGAAAATTCCAAATCCCAACTGCATCCAGAATTCCTGGACACATTTCCCATACTATAAGTGAATGATAAATATACATGGGAAATGTGTGAGTGCAGAATACTATCATATAGTTTGTTCAGCATTTTAACCCCAAGGTTTAGCAAATGCATTATTTTATATATTTTCTCTTCTTCCTCAGGTTGCAAGGTGGATGCCAGAATGACTATATTGAGATCTATGATGGGCCACCCAAATCTTCTCCTTCACTTGGAAGAATTTGTTCTAGCTCTTCTCTCACATACACTTCATCTTCAAACTTCATGTCTGTCAGGTTTTACAGTGACTCCAGATATTCCAGTGGAAGTTTTCAGGCTCAGTACCAGTCCTTTCCAGCAGACCAGAACACCAGTAAATTTCTGTTCTATTTGTAATTCTATTCTCTCAGTAATGTTTTCTTTGCTCAGGAGCTTTCTTACTTTTTTTTCATGTTACTAGAGTTAAACTTTTTAATGCTTTCTTTACTAAATAAGTATTTGTTAATGTTGTTGAAGGAATCCCACATAGCTGATACTCCTACTTGAATTTTGTGACTGATTATTGACTGCTCACATTCAGAAAATAACTACTTTTTCTTCTTAAAAAATTTCCATTTATTTGCCTTTAGAAGTTCTCTATGTTATTTTCTGAACTCGTATTTCTTTGTATCACATCATAATATATATATATTCATATATATATATATTTGTACCTTTCTGGACAAACTTTCACAGGGTCATAGAAATGTTGGTTAGAAGGGGCTTCTGGAGGTTTCCAAGGCCAGCTATTCAAAGCAGAACTGCTGCCAACACCAGGTCAGGCCCATTAAGAGCTGGTCTAGCTGTGTGTCTAGAACTATTCAAAGGATGAAATATTTAAAGCTACTACTTTGGGTGACTATTCCTTACTCATATCTAAGTCTCAAGCATAAAAATAAGTGGTTTGGCTTATGAATTCTCTTCTCTAAATGGTAGCAGTGATTGCATTTGTTGGACTTGCAATATGGAAGCATTATCAAGTACCTGAAATCACTAATAATTCATATTTTTTTTCCCCCTAGCCCTTCTGTGCTTGCCAACCTACATGCGTGCAGTGGTAGACAGACACTATCTCCAGTCCCAGGGCTACTCAGTGGGGAGCATCAGCCTGGCAGACTCTAAATGTAGACCAAAAATTACATCAACTGAGGTTATATTCGATATTTTATACAGCGACTGTGGTACACATAGACAGGTTGGTGTCAAGATATTTGGAAGAGCATGGGAATTTAACAGACATTTGGACAATTGTCATGGATTGCAAAGGGTGTTGTAGGCCACAGGCATGCAAAACTCAGGAAAGTTCTGGAGCCTGAAGTTGGTTAAATATTTTTAACTGAAGTTGGTTAAATATTTTTACTTATCCTTCCCAGGGTACCTATATCATTCCCCTTATCTATTTTGGAATGATGTTCTAGAGAACAAAAACAGAGGGGAGAGCTGAGTGAGCAATCCCATCCTGGCTGCTTGGGATTTTTCTGTGTGACACGTCCTTTCTGACTGCTAGGACCTGGCACATACAGGAGTTCATAATGCTCAGTATTTACAGTGAGCATGACCACATGTGGCACTTTAACACTCATTTAATGTGTCAAACAGGGCAACAACGAAATGATCATCTACTCCAATGTGATAAAAGTGCCTGCTCCTGGCAGAGTCATCAAGAGGCAAAAGGACCTCCACTTGCACATCAGCTGCAAAATGCTGCAGAACACCTGGGTTCAAGTGATGTACATTGCTGATGAGGTCACCGATGTCAACAAAACCCAGTTCGGCAGATACGACGTGAACCTGACCTTCTACAACTCCTCATCTTTCCAGTGGCCAGTGCATGACTTCCCATACTATGTTGACATGAATCAGAATTTGTTCCTCCAGGCTTCTCTTCACAGCTCTGACCAAAATCTGACGGTGTTTGTGGACACATGCATGGTATCGCCTAATTCTGGTGATTTTAGAACACTGGGCTATGAATTGACCAAAAGTGGGTAAGAACCTTGTAAAAAATTAATTTATGACTGTCTTTGTGTGTAGTTCTTAAAGAACTTAATTTGTGAAATGAGGTGATTTAGGACCAGTGTACATTGGTTGTAATTCTCAGGGCAAATGTTCTTTTAAGAACAACTTTTTGGCAAAGCCTGAATAAAATTCAGAATGACAGACAAATGTCATTCAGAAGCTTCAGTCAAGCACTGAGATTTCACTCAAGGAGGCAGTGAGGAAATTGAGGTCTGACTTTGTTTCTGAAGTAGACGTATGAAAAGGAGAAATGGCCATGTACATTTCTGTACACCATGCATTTTACAGCATCATAACTGGAATACAAAACTGTCTACTCAAAAAGTAGAGAAATTCTTTAGCTTTTTCTTACATACTAAAAACCTAAACCACTTTGCCTAATTTTACACCAAAGTACATTGAAGCACTAAAGAGAATGTTTATTAAAAAAGAAAAAAAAAAAAAAAGGAGATGTATTAAAATTAGTTTTATGCTTCCAGAGGAGAAAGGGGAACTTTCTGCAACAGCTTTCAGGGGTCTCTTCTCAAACAGTTAATAGTTTGCAAATGCATAACAGGTTCTCACCTGAAGCACAGAACCAAGCAGAACCACTAACCATTTTTCAGCTACTCATGTTTACACAGAACTTGTTAAGCTATGAAATTTCTGCGCTGTGTACATTTAGTAATTTCTCTTCTTGCTAAAAGCCCTTTTTTTAAAAAAAAGCCTTTTGATTTCTCTTTTACTTCCTGGTTTTATATTTAACCTTGAAACTTATTGCAAAGAGAGCATGTAATAGTGCTTCTACTCAAGAGAAGCTGTGAGTTAGCAGCTAATCTGTTGATTTTTTATCTTTCCAGGTGTGCTAGTGATCCCACCTACTCTCTTTTCCCCTCGCCACGCAGCGATGTCGCTCGGTTTGGGTTTAGCGCTTTCTCCTTCGTGAACAGATTCCCATCAGTTTTCCTGCAGTGTCAGCTGGTGGTGTGCAGGTACCACGACTACTCCTCCCACTGCTATCAAGGCTGTGTTAGCAGGCTCAGGAGGAATGCATATTCTTCCCACAAACAAGTGAATGTTGTTATTGGACCTGTGCAGCTTCGGGAAGCTCACGCTGAGAACAGGAACATTGGTAAGTTTAAATATCTTTATTAACGTAAGACTCTGAGTGTTACTGTCTGTTTGCATTTCAGTTCAGACATGAAATCCAGCTCTGATATGTGCCTTTGCTGGTTTATTTACAATTCTGCTTTAATTCTTATGGGGGATTATTATTTTATATATATATATATATATATATGAAATAGTTCTATTAGATTTACAAGCTTTCCTTTCTATCATAGTTTAGATCCATTCTTTGTTCTGCACATATCAAATGGGAATTGATTCAGTTCTGTGGGAAGAGGGATGAGAATCTCCCTGCTGGATTTATATTTATTATATTAATATAAGTAATATTAATTGTATTAATATTAAATTTCTAAAGCTGTGTGTGCCTGATTTGCATGTCTATTATTTATTTATAATCAATCTCTAGGTTCTCTTGGAAATGTTGTTTCTCAGCATCCTGTAGCTGCTGTTTCCACTACCAGAAAACATCTTAAGGTCTTTGAGTGTAACCATTACAGACTCTCAGTTTCTCTTTAATTCCTTGCCACAATCTTTTCTTGTTTTGCATGGCCACAGAACCACTTGTGAAATAACATGCAGTTTTCTCATTAGATACAGATTAGAGCTTTTTAACTCATATTCTCTTTGCCTAATTATCTTTGCAATTAACTAGCTCAGAAAAAAAAAGAAAAAAAAAAAGAAAAAAATAAAGAAGTAAGTTTCTCTCTGCCTCTTTTATGCACAGAGCTGGCCTCTGACATCCAGGCAAAAGGGAAGACTCTGAGCTCAGTGCCTGCTGGCAGCTCCCACATTCCCCTGGCTGTGACTACCCTGGTGCTGCTAGCTGCTGTTCTCACAGCAGGAGGATTTCTTTTGAAGAAGAAACTGCAGGATGCCATCCCATACCATAAAATGTGAGAGGCAGCTCCAGACATGGAGGTGGAAGGATACTTTCACCAGCCACCTGCTTCATTATTTGGGTTTGCAATCAGTGTGAAGGGCAGCTCTTACTTGACTATTCCACCATTCAGACCATGTCTGAAGAATCAAGATTACACCTGATGTTACCATGAACTGAATTTATAAAGCAATCTGATTTTAAAATCTAGTCCAAATACACCTCAGGTGTAAAGAAGGATTGACCTTTCATCCCAAAAAAGCATCTTCAGTGCTGGACATTTCAAAGCTTTTCCACTGAACTCATTGAGTGTCTGAGAAGATTGAAATAGGTGGCTTGAGAAACAAGAACTGACTTATTTGGCCCTTGCTGATATGCAGATGAAACACTTGTGTTGCACCATAAGATACACTGAGAAGCAGTACAAGAAAAATGTCTCTTTGCAGTAAAAAAAATCTCAATAATGAGCCATAAACAAACAGGCTCAGGGGCTGCAGGTGAGGAATTATTGCTGTACAGCATTCCTGACTTTGGGCAGTATGGTTCTTCCCAAATTCATATTTCTCTGAGTAAATGTAGGCCATTTATAAGATTTTGTACAGAGGATGAATATAATCTCATTAAATAAATGTGTAATTAAAAAAAGAAGGAAAGAAAATTTTTTTTGAGCAATACTTTTTTGTGTGCGTACTTGCAAACATCCCACTTGTGTGTGTGAACTCATGGCTAACACGTTGCTGGGTTGGGGAGTGTGGCTTCTGACAAAGTGACCTTGCCAAGCAATGATTCCTGCTCTTGCTCTCACACATTTCTACACCTGGAATTGGTGGGAGGGAGAGAATGTACATTAAGTTCCCATAAGGAAGTGTGACCTGTCTCATCCCCATGCGAAAACAAAATAAAAAACAATAAAAAAAGGAAGAATTTGTTTGGAAGAATCTACTTAATACAGGTGGAAAGGTCACTGGTATTGATTGAGAAATGCCCCTCTTGAGACTTTCCTGTTTCCCAGCCAGCTGTGAACGAGGTAAGTTCATTTGGAGCCGAGCAAGGTCAGATGTGCGAGGTGAGCCAACGCGGTGACGTGTGAGGAAGCTCTCACTGTACTCTTGGTGTGACATCCTGACCTGACAAGGAGGATAAGGGCAGCTCTGACGGGAACCAGCCCCACAGCCTGCACCATTTGTTCCCTCAAGCTGCCTTCTCATGACTCCAGGCCAGCCCCTCACCACCTCTCTGTGATGTGAAGAAGGGGTCACACAAGTAGGGACTGGCACTGCAGAGGTTTTTCCCACACTTGAGGAACAAGGATTTAGGGTCCTTCTCCCCACTCTCCAGCCACCTTTGGAGGGCAGAGCACCTCAGGAGGCTGACCTGCCTTCTTCTGTTTTCTGGACCAGAGATTGTCCAGGCTCAGAGCAATCCAGCCATCTGCTCAGCACAGCAAGGACTCTCTTGGACCTGGCCTTTCCTAACTCTGTAGAGCAGGACCTTCCCCTCTGCTCTTCCCAGACCTGCTGTATTCTCCTTCCCCTGTTCCTGCTGTGGCCCTGCTGCTGTGGTGTTGCTACCACACCATCCTGCAGGGTACAGCTTGATGGCACTTTTTTCCACTTCTCCTATTCTCTCAATATTATTTTCACCAGACAAGCAGAAATATCCCAGGCCTAGATCCTGGTGTCTCCAATCCTCACCCATCTCTGTGCTGTTCAGAGCTGAGTTTTCCCATAGCATGTCTGTGCCAGGGCTCCCAAGTGGAGAAATACCAAGGCTGGGTAAAAATGCAAGTTGGAATTACCAAGTTCACTGGTTTCCATATTAAATATTGCTGCAGAAAGCGTTGCCATCTGTTCAGGCAATAGATGTCTCAGACTCCTCCTTGTTTCCTTTTGTCTCCTTTGATCCATAAGCATTACAGAAATGCAGGATTCAAGAAAAATGTGTTTGATGATGAGGAAAGGGTCATGTGCCTGGTGATCTCTCTGCCACAGACCTTCCTGCCTGGATTCAGACTATCATTCCTTCGTGGAGAAGTCTGTGGAGATCCTTATTATTATCCTTATTCCAGTGCAGATACTTTCCTACAATCATGGGTGAAAGCTGATTAATCTTGTTTGTCCTTTCAGTGGTCTCCATTCTTACCTTTAAAAACCCAGTATGTTTGCAAAGTGCCCTCACAATTATCAGCAGAAGGAAAACTGTTTTCAAAGCTCCATGTGGCTTAATTCAGAGTGATGTGCTGGGAAATACCTTAAGCTGCTACAAGAAGACCTTGACAACAAAAATGTGTTACTGCAAGAGATTTACCTAGCCAGTGGGAAAGGCTGAAATACTGTATGGTATTTGCATTAATTAACTAAGGTTAATCAAAACAAATTATTTATCTATTTCCATTGTGCAGAGATTGTTTGGTAATAAAGATCTCTAGAAACATCTAGATTTTAAAAATTAATAATTTATTAATGAAAAAGGTAATGAAGAACTAATCAATCAAACAATCAATCCTCATTTTTTACCTGGGCAGCTGAAGACTTTTTTTTTACACTTGAACCAGCTGGGAATCCCTTTTGTGTTCCCCTTCCTTCTCACCCTCTTTCAGTTATTACAGGAGTTTGATCCATCACTCACTCTTGCTTCACTGACTGCAGGGTTTGATTGGCAAGTCAAATACATTGGATTTCTCATTCTTGTCAAGGTGTCAAAACCAGAATATGAATAGTGAATGCCAGGTGTTGTGTACATATCCTCATTCATGTGCAAATGTGCTTGTTTGGATAAAGAAGAAACATATTTACCATTCTGAATGCTCACTTTCAAGGTTTCCAAAGTTATCTTTGGCCTCTTATTTTTCACTTCCTTCTCCCATTCCAATGATATTGGCCTTTGTGGAAAGATGTTTTAGATAATTCTCTTTTCCCCCTGGGCTTTGGTCTTCCTGCTTGATGACTGTCCCTGAAGGCAATAAATTGGTATATGGCAACAATTTTAACTGGTGATAATTCCATGCAAGACATGATGGCTATGGAGGTAGGGATGAGATGGACAACAATATTCTGACTCTTCAGTGCTAGGATGATCATCAGATTTTCTTGTTAAATTGTTAGAAACACAGAAACAGAGGAAAGTAACCACTCTGGCAAGAGAGTGATGAATGAGAATAAACCATTTTTTCATGTTGTGGAAAGCCCTTGAATTCATTCTTCAAAGAATGATACAGCTGTCACTGTGACTACATAAAATTAAACAAGGAACATATTAAGACATTTTCTTAATCTGAAGAAATGAGAACTTTTTTCCCCTGATTTTTTTGTTCAAAGGATCAAATGACATTTTAGAATAAAATTAGTTTCAGGCAATGTAATTTCCTTCACTATGCTTAAAATCCATTGATTTTTTCCCCACAATGTTTGCACAAAAAGTTATCAGTTGACCCTGATTCTCTGACAGTTCTCTGCAACCTGTCTGTCAGTGAATTTTGACTGGAATTTTGGCTTGAACTTAAATGTGCCCCAAAATAAAGGTTTTTTTATTTTTATTTTTATTTTTTTCATTTTTATTTTTATATTTAAATATTAAATAATTTAATTTAACAATTTAAATTAATATATTCATTAATATATTAATATATTAAATTCAATAATTTAAATTAATATATTTAAATATTTATTTTTAGTCCAGCTGGGACTGGAGCTGTTGACTTCAGCTGCAAGGTTCTCCAGAGACCCCCCAGTCATTCTTAAATAGGCTCACCAGGTCTGATATGATTTTATTTAAAGGCTGCTGAAGCTTTAGGACATTCATGGCTCCCCAAGGAGATCTGCCACATCAGTTGGCAAGGGTCTCTTGCTACTTTGCTGGAATAAACCCATTTAAATTTCAAGATTCCACTCACATCCCAATACCTGACCAGGAACCTCCTCATGAAAGAAAAGTGCTGAGATGCATCAGCCAGAATGGAAAGGTATCTTTGGACAGGAGCTCTCTTTTCTTTGGTACAGTGAGATGATTGTGAAACCTATGGTAGCATAAATAGTTCCTTCCAGGCAATGGAAAATGTTACTCTTGAGATATTGTCTTTCTGCAAAACCCAGGAAGTTACAAAATATTAAATAACTAATCAAACATATGTTTGTTCCAGATCAGAGGACTGTGGTTGTTTTATTGTTCTGCTGTAGAAAAAGGGACCTGTAGAGCCACTCCCCTTCAGAAATAGAGGCTATATATTGTCAGGTCCTTTTTGCCAGCACCACCTGGTGAGATGGGTACCACTATGATTTTAACATGGCTACTCTTGCTAGGTCCAGCAGTTCTGGAGGCCAAAACAGGTAAAACACTCAGACTTGTTCCAGGGCACATAAAAAAATGATAAGACTGCTTGGAATCCTCTCTGTTGATTCCAAGAGCAGAAATTAGATTCAGGCTGGTATTGGTTTGGGCAATAGAATAAAAGGGAAATTGGATGAAAGAGCAGTTTTGTTCTACTACAATTATGAACTAATCATCAGGGTGGATGATAATGATTTGAAACATTTTGTGGAGTTCATTTTGCTGCCACAGGGTCCTACTCAGTGCCTTGTATCATTGCAAGAATTGTGTCTGTGATTATGTCATGAAGGATTCTTCCAGTTCCAGAAATCTGATCTAAAAACTATGGATTTATTTCTTTACTTATTTTCAATGTGCATTTATTCCAAAGTATATGTGTGTACATCTGCTGTATATTTAATATTGCTTGTAGTATTTGGTTCTTCTTGGTATTATGTACAATTTTACAGAATATAACATGAAGTTTTCACACTCTGGCACTGTGTTTAAATGATGGACATCTAAAAACTATGAGAGATTAAATACTTTTAGTTCAATTTTTTTTATAGTCATAGAATTTTTCCTTCCATGATTACTTTCTATCTCCTGAGTGGTTTGGGTGACTTTGAGTTAATAGTTCTGTGTATATCTTAGAATAACTGCTGATGACTTTTCTAATGAGTTATTTAAGCTTCATGACGATAATTTATATTGCCACCGTTCACCTCATCAATTCTCTCATCTGTCTCCTGCTTTTCTGGTCATAAATCATCTCACTCTGGCTGCTCTAGTTCTTCTCTCTGCTCTCTGCCTCTGTGTCCCAGAGCAGAGTATTTGCTGTATTTGTATAATCACAGGCTTTTGTCTTTTTGATACCTTTGAAGTGTGAGGCAGGACTCAACCTCTCCAATTCATCCCCAGCTGATGGTTATGCTCTCACAGTGATGACAGGCCTTGAATGAAAGCAAATAAAACTGGTTTAGGTCGGCTTTACTTTCCAAATCCCACTCTGACTTTTTGCCAGGTTTGCTGTTTCACTTCTCAAGAACCCTGTGAGTAGGGCTCAAAAATGTGTGTGTTCAAGTAGATATTTGCAGGAACAAGTCAGATATAAGTCAAGGACCACTTTTATAGCTTTGCCCTTTGAAAGTCATACAAATCAGGGCAAATTTAGTTTGGTCACCATCTTGACTGTACTTCTAGCTCTATAGCAAAGAATTAGGTGCAGTGAAGAAATCCTGGAGCTGTGAACTTTTGAGATTTGCTTTGCTGTGGATGACTTAGTACTTAATAACAAGGTAAATATGTACTTGGCAGCAAAGTAAAATATAGCGAGTGCAGCTGAATGTTTTGATTTCTAGAGTGTAAATACTGCGAATCCAAAGTTACAACATTTATTTGCTTGCTTACACTTGGTAATAAAGACTTTAATAAACTTCTTCACCAAAAAATGGATCTCTAAAATCAGGATTTTCATGCTGGTCATGCCAGAATGTCTAAACAAGACATATAAAACTGAAAAGCAGATGGGCTTTACCTGAATGACTGCAAAAATCAGCTGTATACATGATAGGTTATTTCTTTATTTCAAAATGTAATAACATTTTGCTGGTATGTTAGAATGCCACTGAAGTATTGAAATCTTTATAATCCTGTTGGGACCATCATCCATTCTGTAGAACATTTGGTGGAATTCTTCCACTGAAGTCACTCTTATAAGCTATAGGATTTGGTGATGTGTGGACTCTAAGTTCTTAAACTTGTCTCAAAAATTTATTTTTTTGCTTAAATCATTTTTGCTTAGTCTGCTGCCTAACTTTACTGTAGGGATCTTGCATAAAATATACATGATTATAAGGACTGTAAGAGAAGAATAAAAAAGGTACAAATCACCTCTGTCCTCACAGGCACTTAATACTGGGCTGGGCAGCAACTTCTAGGAACAACAGGGGAAGAAAGCAGAACAGTCACTCCTTCCAGTCCCTTCCAGCTTATTTTGCTGACTGTTTTGTGCTCATGCCCTCTCTCCCAAAGCTCCGTATGTCCAGCTGGTGAACGGAAAGCACCCATGCGAAGGTCGTGTTGAGATCTATTACAGAGGACAGTCGGGGACAGTTTGTGATGACTTCTGGGACCTCACAGATGCCCAGGTTGTGTGCAGGCAGCTGGGATGTGGCAAGGCAATTGCAGCTCTAGGAAGTGCCTACTTTGGGCAAGGCTCGGGTCCCATTATGCTGGACAACGTGAGGTGCAGCGGAGATGAGGTGTCCTTGCTGCGCTGCAATCACACGGGATGGAGGATCCACAACTGTGATCACTATGAAGATGCTTCTGTTGTCTGTTCAGGTACTCCCACATTTTCTTCCCTGTTCTTTCACTCTGCTGACCCTGCAGAACCAGCATGGACTCAGGTTTTTCTCACTACAGTCAAACTGCAGTTGCTCACCCACGGAAAGCAATTAAAAACCCCAAGGATCAGATATACATTGCAGATACGCAGAAAATTATTCCATCTAATCACCTGGTGGTGGCAATAAGGAAACAATTCAAAATTAGAGGCAAAGCTGTGTCTGATAGGTGAAGTTTATCATGGAAGAATGGGGTTAGGTGAACTCTCAATGGATTCATTATGGGCAATAATAATTTCACAATCCCAGGTCAGATTGCCATAGCTCACAATTCACTTTGGATTGTTTCCATGTTTTTCAAGTCTTCCTTTGTTTAGGCCCATTAATGCCTCTTTCCTCTGCAGATATCCATCCATTTTGAGTACTCTTTCACTTTGCTGTGTTCATTTTATTTTTCCATGATTTTTAGGAGAATGTGGGTTATTTGTATCTTATTTTCTCATCTAATAACAACAGATCATCATGAACCAAGACATGGTTGATGACAACATATTGTTCAGATGTTTTATATCTATATTGCAGTTTTCCACCTTTCCTTAGAGAGCAAGAGCCTGGAGAGCTGAATCCATGCTAGAAGGAAGTGCTAACTACACCAGTGTTTTTCACTTAGGAGAAAACAGTAAAAATTGCTACAATACCTCTGTTAATCTATGTGTGATGTTTTCAGAGCCTTTTTAAATGCCATTTATTTCTTATAGCTCCAGGGCCTTCGTCAGGCTGGATGTACTCAACAGATTATTCAGCCTGCTCCACTCCTGCCCTTGCACCAAGCACCATCCCAAGACCCAGGCTGTTCCTGGGGATGTCCTGATCCTCTGCAGAAGGGCATTCATGATGGTGATAAGTTCAAGCCCTGCTTCTGCCAGCAGCCCTAAGCTCCCCTCTCCATGCCAGAAGCTGTAGAATCTTGGGCTGTGCCTGGGCTATGATGTCCTGGGGCTGGGAGCAGATGCCACACCCTGCTTACCATCTAGAAATACCGTGTCCAAGAGAAATTTTGAATTGGTTGTTACCCACTTTCATTCACTCCATTGACCCCACACAAGATAGACTATGCCATCAGAGTAATTGCTCTTGATTTCACTTCATCCTAGAGGAACTGGGCCTGTAGCCATCACACAGATGTACCCACTGATTGGTGCTCATGTGTGGGGTGTTTTTCTCCTTTTTTCACAGAAGACTCTGATCTAACACCAACAGATACAACAGCCTTAGCACTGGAGACAACCTCCATAGAAGGGACAACATTCACACAATCAACATCTCTGAGAGAGACATCAGTGTCAGCATCAACAGTCCTCCCGGAGGAGAAGGCATTCCTGAGGGAGATGGCCACAACTGAATTAACAACCAACACAGGGGAGGTGACATCCCCACTGCAGACAGCCACCACGGTGCCATCAACCCCCAGAGAAGAGACACCCTTCCTACTGGAGATGGCCACCACAGTGCCAATGACAACCTTAGAGGTTACGACCAACACAAGGCTAATGACCTCCCCAGGAGAGATGTCCACTTCACCACAGTTGACAATGTCATCCACTGCCCCACCACTGCCTGATACGATCACCACAGTGAGATCAGACACCACAGCAGAGGAGAGCAAAACAGGTAACCCTGCCCACTATCACTCATTGTTCTCTCTAGTGCCCCTGGACTTCCTTCCCAGACCTGACTGCACTGTAGGGAGACTCCCAAAATGACAGGACAAAGTTCCATGATCTCTCCCCCATTAACTGTCCAGCTCTGCTTTTCATGTCCATTCCCATGTCCATTGTCATTGTAGTAATGAGCTCCTTAGCAGAAACATCCAGCCCAATATATCCTTCCACCGCCACGTCATCCAGTGCCACACCAGAGGTGTCCACCTCAGCAGAGATGTCCACATCCACAAAGATGATAACCTCACCAGTGATGACCACCTCAGAGGAAACAACTGTGGGAGGAGAGTGGAGCACACCAGGTAACCCTGTCATCTCTTGCTCACTGGTCTTCTTAGTGCTCCTTAATTTTTAACTGAGTAACCCCTGGGGCATTTCCCACTGGAGAATTTTGGTGCCATCCCTTGGAAGCAGCCATGCTGACCTCTCTTGGTAAATGTGGAGCAAAACAAGAACCTTAGTGTTTTCTATTGCCTGCTGAGCTGAGTGTGTGCCAAGCAAAAGCCCTGTTTGCACATAGGGAGCACAACAGGCTCTCCTGGCCTGCAGGAAACAGGTCTCTGGGAGGTGGCAAAGAGAAGAGGGATCACAGAGCTGGGAGACTGGGAAGGGACTCAGGTCACTTTGGGCTGGTGTCTCTATGAGAAATAACTGGAAAGAGCTTCACCCTCTCTACCAGCATTGGCAATCCAGCCTTGCTTGTCATACCAAATGCAGTGGCCATTGTAAGAACTACCTCCCTAGCAGAGATGTCCATGACACTGCAAAAGATCAAGGAAAAAAACCATCATGCCAAAGACAGGCACCTCAACAGAGACAACCTCAGCAGAGACAACAATGTCAGAAGAGATGGCCACTACAGCATGGATTGCAAGGGAGGAAGGGAGCACACTAAATAACCCTGCCCACATTCATTCCCTGATCAGCGTGTGAAAGACCAAAGTCAGGATGGTCATTTCAGATGTGTGAAAGAGCTCTGAAGGTTGCTGTAGGAATCATAGGACAGGGGATCCTAGAAAATGGGTACTCTCATCTGTATGACATCTGCTGAATCCCTTTGGAAGCTTTGTCATTGACAACAAAATCTCCCTTGCATCCACAGCTTCATCGCGTACCAGTGACAGTCCACATTCCACAGGTAATTCCAGCCCCCCATGCCTAACCTTGCAGCAGCCATGCAGGCTCCCTGTTGCAGTGGCCCACGTGGGCACAGCAGAGCACAGGGTTGGTGCGAGCTCGTCCTTGTGCCTTGTGCCGTGTGTCAGGAGGCAGCGTGCGGCTGGTGGGCGGCAGGAACGGCTGCGAGGGCCGCGTGGAGCTGTACGACGGCAGCACCTGGGGGACGGTGTGTGACGACCAGTGGGACCTGCAGGATGCCCAGGTGGTGTGCCAGCAGCTGGGCTGTGGCCAGCCCGTGGCTGCGCTGGACACTGCACACTTTGGCCCGGGCTCCGGCCGCATCTTCCTGGACGACGTGCAGTGCCGCGGGGACGAGCCCTCCCTCCAGATGTGCCAGCACAACGGCTGGGGCATGCACAACTGCAGGCACGTGGAGGATGCCAGCGTCATCTGTGCAGGTGGGTGAGCAGCAGAGACCATCAGCTCTCCAGCAGCTCACACTGGGTGGTTCTGGTGTTCTCCATGGAAAGCAGCCATGCAGAGCCAGGACAGAGAGGAAATCCTGGGGTCGGTTGCTGCCTGGGGCTGAAATACGTGTCATCCAAAATCCCCACTTTTGCACAGAGAGGGAAGAACAGGCTCTCCAGTCTCACAGGTGTAGGTGCTCCATAGCAGTGAAAAGAGGTTTGTGGGATCATGGCATGGGCTGTACTGGGGACATGTCAGGCTGGTGACTGTACAGGTCAATAGTAGGACTTCCACATCCTTTCCTCCGTCTATTCTTTGAGCCTAGCATTTCCATGTCCATGTCCCTGTACATGCCCATGCCCAAGTCTGACATGGTGCCGTTGTCCTGGCTAGTTTTGCTTCCAAGGCACCACGCTGGGAGTGGGCAGCAGCTCCTGCCTGCAGACACAGAAGCTGAACTTTAGATCTCATGCTCTATGGCACCCTCAGCTCTTGAAGGAAGGGGGAAGCAAAGGACGAGGAAGAGGCTCTTGGTTTGGCTCCCGGGGAAGGATTTATTCACTGAAAGGTTCAGGGAGCAAAGAGCCATGACCACTGCTGTGCATGGGATTAAGCACAGTAAAAATCCGGTGGGAGGGTACAAACAAACAGCCAATGGGAAGGCAGAAGGGAGGAGTAAAGGGAGTGGATTACTTCTCACTGGCCAATAAGGATAAGGGGGGGGAGCAGGCAGGCCACACAGACCAATAGGGCCTCAAGGATTAAGAGATGGACAGGGAAGGATCCAGAAGAAGGGGCGGGGCTTACAATGATGGATGGGGAGCGAGGGACGGGGTTGTGATGACAGGCAGGGAAGGTTCAGAATTAAGGGGTTGGGCACACAATGATGGGCAGCCTAGAGGAGGGTATAAGCTAGGGACAAACCAACTTCAGGGGAGCATGAGGGAACATGAGAACAAACCATTTTCAAAACAAAATATAAAAATGCAACACACCACGAGTGCATTCTCTACTACAAGTTTGCTGCCTTTAGTATTCTTTCATTCACTCCCTCTTTTTCCTTGCAGCTGCCGATCCAACCCCTCCTGCTCAATGGCCACACACAACAGGTAATTCCTTCCCACCCTGCATATTACCAGTTTTACAGTGAGCCCCACCCTGGCACAAGAGGAGAACAAACCAGGCCTGCTGGGCTGAGTTGCTGGTCCCTTCTGCCCACAGCAAAGGGTCTTGTCGTTTGAGGGCTTCTGCCAGGGAGGATCTGAGCCTCAGCAGAATGGCAACTGCCGTGCTGCCCAGTCCAAGCCCCGCTCTCCCAGACCCTCCATGGCTTCTGGCTGTGGGGCAGCAAGTACCAAGCAGATGGGGGCAATCCCTTCCCTCAGGCCCATGCGCTTGGCAGGCCAGCCCAAGACACAGGTATCTGTCCTGATGCCAGGTCACGGCTGCTGCTTTGCAACCATCAAGCACAAGTGACCAGTCCCTTGTGGATACCCTCTCAGTGCCCTTAGTCTCAAACATCTGCAAGGTGTATGAGTGTGACCCCTCATGACATATCCCATGATCATAGTGTGCAAAAATGGCTTTCTGGCAAATGCCCCCATGCCCTGAGCAGCTCCCAGGGTCCCCAGGCTGTTCTCATCAAATTCCCAGGCAGCTCCTTGTACATTATGCATCAGCCTTCCACATACCTGGGCTATTTGTTCTCTCACTCCCCTTCCTTGATCTCCTTAGGATTGCAGCACCTCAAATCAAAGTTTCTGTGGCAAACTCTGTAAAACACTTGGGGAGGTGGGGGCTGTGGATGCTGAGGTGTTGGAGAGCTGATGTTGTTCCTTGTGCCGTGTGTCAGGAGGCAGCGTGCGGCTGGTGGGCGGCAGGAACGGCTGCGAGGGCCGCGTGGAGCTGTACGACGGCAGCACCTGGGGGACGGTGTGTGACGACCAGTGGGACCTGCAGGATGCCCAGGTGGTGTGCCGGCAGCTGGGCTGTGGCCAGCCTGTGGACGCCCCACAAAACGCTCACTTTGACCCGGGCTCCGGCCGCATCTTCCTGGACGACGTGCAGTGCCGCGGGGACGAGCCCTCCCTCCAGATGTGCCAGCACAACGGCTGGGGAGAGCACAACTGTCAGCACATGGAGGATGCCAGCGTCATCTGTGCAGGTGGGTGGGCAGCAGAGAACACGAGCCCTTTGCATATCACTCTGAGAGGCTTCTGGGTTTGTCCTCTGGGAACAGTTGAGCTGAGCTCCCCTCGACAGGCCACAGTTCTGGTAAAGCTCAGGTCTTCTGCCGCCAGGGGCTGAGTCCTCTGAGATGTAAATGACATATTTTGACACTGATAGGGCACACTGCCTTTTCCACACTTCCTGCTTTTGCAGCTAAATGAGTGGACAAAGAGCAGAAGGTTGGAATTGTTCTTTGGGGAGGATGGGGCAGGACTGGGGACAGGTCTGGCTAGTATCAGAGTCGGGGGGAAAGGCAGGACTCAAGCTCTCTTCTCACTTTAGTCCTGAATTTTCATGTCCATGTTCATGACCATGTCCACATCAAAGTCCCTATACTGCCACAAGCCTCACTACACTTTTCTTCACTCCTTCTTCTTCTTCTTTGCAGCCGCCAGTCCAACCACTCCTACTCCATGGCCACTCACAACAGGTAGGTCCTGCTCACGCTGCTTTTGCCCAAATTTTAGTGAGGCCCAGCCTGACACAAGATGAGAAGAGGGGAGTAAAGCAGCACTGATGCTGCTCAGTGCAAGGCTGCTGATGTTCTTGGTCCATGACAACTCCAGAGTGCTCAAATGGTCCACATCAGGGTTGGTTCACTCCCAAGGGTTGCAAAGGCTTTTTCTGGAAGTGCCTCCATGAATCAATGACTTCAGCAGCCAGGCAGCTCCAACAGGACTCCAACAGGTCCCTGGACAGAGCTAGACTCTTGTCTGCATGCCTGGAGTGTATGCCCAGTTACAATCCTCCCCTGATCCCTTTTGGGTCTGCCCTAGTCCAGCTCATGGTCACTGTGGCAAAATCTGTAAAGCAGTTGGGAAGTTGGTGGCTATGGGTGCAGAGTGTGTGGTAGCCTGTCCTTGTGCCGTGTGTCAGGAGGCAGCGTGCGGCTGGTGGGCGGCAGGAACGGCTGCGAGGGCCGCGTGGAGCTGTACGATGGCAGCACCTGGGGGACGGTGTGTGACGACCAGTGGGACCTGCAGGATGCCCAGGTGGTGTGCCAGCAGCTGGGCTGTGGCCGGCCCGTGGATGCCCCAAGAAATGCTCGCTTTGGCCTGGGCTCCGGCCGCATCTTCCTGGACGACGTGCAGTGCCGCGGGGACGAGCCCTCCCTCCAGATGTGCCAGCACAACGGCTGGGGCATGCACAACTGCGGGCATGTGGAGGATGCCAGCGTCATCTGTGCAGGTGGGTGAGCAGCAGAGACCATCAGCTCTCCAGCAGCTCACACTGGGTGGTTCTGGTGTTCTCCATGGAAAGCAGCCATGCAGAGCCAGGACAGAGAGGAAATCCTGGGGTCGGTTGCTGCCTGGGGCTGAAATACGTGTCATGCAAAATCCCCGTGTTTGCACAAGAGGGAAGAACAGGCTCTCCAGTCTCACAGGTGTAGGTGCTCCATAGGGGTGAAAAGAGGTTTGTGGGATCATGGCATGGGCTGTACTGGGGACACGTCAGGCTGGTGTCTGTACAGATCTGGTCAGTAGCAGGACTTCCATGACCTTTCCTCCCTTTATTCCTTAAGCCTAACATTTCCATATCCATGTCCATGTCCAAGTCCATCCACTGCCACAAGTTTGCTGCCTTTAGTACGCTTTCATTCACTCCTTCTTTTTCCTTGCAGCTGCCGATCCAACCCCTCCTGCTCAATGGCCACACACAACAGGTAATTCCTTCCCACCCTGCATATTTCCAGTTTTTCAGTGAGCCCCACCCTGGCACAAGAGGAGAACAAACCATTTTCAAAACAAAATATAAAAATGCAACACACCACGAGTGCATTCTCTACTACAAGTTTGCTGCCTTTAGTATTCTTTCATTCACTC